CCTATAAACGCAGGTTTCACCTATTCTTCCCCTCTCTTCCTGCACTGTCATTCTGTAGGCCTATGCATATCCCTTCTGTTCCCTTCCATTAATAAACTCTTATAGTGGGTTTTGTTGTACCTCGTGCCTTTCTCACAAGGTAAACAGTGCCGCTTAATGAATAACACATACCCTACCATGGTGAGGTACACAAGGACGAGAAAGAAACTGGAAGCAGCATTTAAAGGAACAAGGGTTGGATTTTGTGTTTTTTCATTTCTTAAGTGTGTATACATGGTTTTATTTCATTTGTGTAAAGGTTATAGATGAGTGTGAAATGCATGCATCTGTGTGCATGTGGACTCTGAGGCCCAAGGTTGATGTTAGAAATAATTCTTTTTTTTTTTTTAATTGGTTTTTCGAGATAGGGTTTCTCTGTGTAGTTTTGGTGCCTGTTCTGGATCTCAGTCTGTAGACCAGCCTGGCCTCGAACTCACAGAGATCCACCTGGCTCTGCCTTCTGAGTGCTGGGATTAAAGGCGTGGGCCACCACCACTGGCAGAAATGATTCTTGATGGCCCTTTGACCTTATTCCTTGAGGCAGTCTCTGTCAATCAAACCCAGAGCTCACTGATACAGCTAACCTCCCTAGCTAGCTTGTTCTGGGGATCCCCTGTCTCTGGCTACCACATCCACTGGAATTTGGGGATTCAATTCCAGTCCTCATCTTTACTTATCAAGTACTCAACCACTGAACCATTTTCCTAGTCCCTCTGGCTAAATTTTCATGAGTATGAAGAACAAAACAAAACAATGTATCCCGAGATCAGAAACACATGGACTTTTTTGTGTGTGTTAGTTTTTTGTTGTTGTTGTTGTTTTGTTTTGTTTTTGAGACAAGGTTTCTCTGTGTAACAGCCCTCACTGTCCTGGAGCTTGATCTGTAGACCAGGCTGGCCTCCAACTCACACAGATCCACCTGCCTCTGCCTCCCAAGTGCTGAGGTTAAAGGTGTGTGCCACCACTGCCCAGCCACATGGAATTTTTATTAGGACAAACCAAATTAAGCCCCAGCTGGACACAGCAATGTAAAATTGGAAGACAACAGATCAGAAGTGTCCAGTGGGTGTAGAATAGACTCTTCACCAAGGAGCCAAGACCAGACTGGTAGCTGACTGTTCAGGAGATGTGAGAAATTTCTCTGAAGAAAAGGTTGCAGAAATCTAGTCTGGCTTACTTATCTGTGATTCCAGCATGTGGGAGGCTGAGGCAGAAGGATTTTGAATTTAGGTCAGTTTGGGCTACACAGTGAGACCCTGTCTCAAAAACAAAAACAGACTGGGAGGAGAGTTCTAGAGAGCAGCTAAACCAGGGTTCCTTTCAGACATGGAGACCGGGAAGGCTCTGCTCACAAATGTTTGCTAAAGGAACAGCGAAAAGAAATGCCTAAGAGGATGAACTATAAGTCAGGTTTCCTCCAAGGAGGCAGCTGCCTTTATAGAGTCTGAGAGGCCAAGTGAAGAAGGCTGCTGCCAGGGCCCAGAGGGTGCACAGCACGGGGACACTGGGTTTGTAACAGTTCATTCAACTGGCTCATGAGGTGAGGTTCTGTGCTAAAGCTATTTCTTCATAAGTAATATACTTTTGCAGTAGGCTTCTGGATGCATGAGCCACTGCTGTGGGGTGGTCTGTCTGTCAAATAAAACACTGATTGGCCAGTGGCCAGGCAGGAAGTAGGTGGGACAAGGAGAGAGGAGAATTCTGGGAAGCGGAAGGCTGAGGCGGAGAGACACTGCCAGATGCCGCCATGACCAGGAGCATGTGAAGTCGCTGGTAAGCCACCAGCCAC